ATATATATACATATATCCAGCCCAGACCGTGCGTAAGACTAGAATACCTGAACGCATAATTCGTATCTTCTGGCGAGTTAACAGACATAATTCACGATTCTATCCCCACGTTTTCGTCCTAGTGACTTTACTCGTTCACCTATGTGCTTGGCTTAACTCGTGAAGTAAGACAAGTGGACGGAGCAGTTATAAGTGTCTAAGCACGGAGTGCAGTTTGGCATACTTTAAGTCAACTGGACGGAGCAGCTATTAAGATTAATAAGTGCGGCATGTTTAGGCGGTGATCACAGTTAAAGTCAACCGGACGGAGCAGTTACCAATCTCGGCACAAGACATATGAACCGAAATAACTAACGCGCGCGATAATGTCGAAGTATACTATATAATAACCAACATTTTCGTATGAGGCAAGGTGGACAGTAGTTTGCCCATCATGTTTCCAGGATTTAGTTTTCGCCAACAGATCTTCTGAAGGTGTAACTGGAACTGATGTTCGCTTGATTCGGATACTGTATGAAAGTGCTTTTTTGCGAAGGACCAAGGATTTTTCGTGTTTTTCGGGAGAATCACGCTGTTCCCAGGATCCACAGAGTATTTTAAATGATTGATCGTCTAGTGCTAGTATTGAGCTATTTCATCCAAGGCTCTGTAGGCTCCCCATTCGTCCGTGATTATTATGGTGGTCGACTGAAAGCGAAAGAATTGAATAATCTAATCGACTTACCCGAACATGTATTCGGATGAGGAATAATAAGTTGACTATATTTCGTCTGTTCTCACGGCAGAACAACATGAACGCTGAGAACGTCATGCTGCTCTTGAACATCCAGGGTAGCAAAACTGTGAAAACCCCCTCCAGCGTAAAACGGGTATTTCTAAATATGGAGTCTTTTCGAAGGGAATAATATCGTTTATATGCTTCACATTTCCGCCGGTAGTTGCTTGCACACCTCGTGACCTAAATCCAATTATGTAAAATACGGAACGGTTAAAAGAAATTACATTCCGATGAATTCAATAGCATCACATTCGGATGGTGAGCCCATCGCAGTTACTACCACAGCCCCGTCTTCGCATACGCCCGTTCATATGCCCCCTTTAAAACCCCAGTGTGCTACCCTAGGAGCTCCACTGCTGTCAGACCATGAGTCATCAATTTGGCCTGATGTTAATGACATTTCAGCGCGGGATGAGTACGCTGCCCGAGGATGGTAAATTCTTCGGCGTGTTTGTACTTCATGTTTAGAATACAAAGTTGCATTCCTGGCGGTTAGGGTGTGTGCAATGTGGGGCTTTCGTGGCAACTGCAGTCGAAAAGTAATTTATTTTAACTGTTCTGCATTTTTCAGAACTGAATATGGGCCAAAAAGTGTGCAAACAAGGAGGCAGTCTAGGAGCCGATCAACGAATGCCGCCGGCAGATTAAGAAGTACCCAGAATGTTTTGCGTTCACACTAGTACCTGCTACGCTCAGTTCACCTGAATCATGATGAACGCAGAATTACACCGCATGTGTTGACATTAATAACTGATACGTCTAGTTTACTCAAGCTATGATCAACATTGATAAGCAGCACACGGAAGAAGTCGGAATGAACGTGTACTCGTAAGGGTGAGGGTAAGTTATAGTGCTCTAATTCAGTCACGGCAAAAACTGAGATAACCTATTGGCAGCCGTCAGTGAAGTCTGAAACCGGCAAAAACATGAACCAACGGTTATCGTAATCATAAACATCCATGATCCGAATATAGAGTGATTGTAGCTGAAACGGTAGAAGTGGAAAACAACGTTTTCGTCGGATAAACAACGGACATCAAAATTTATCGTTATTCGTCGAGTAATGAGCATTGACTCGCGTTCGCATGGCCAGCCACATTAAAGCATGATCAATAAGCAACAAACGAAACGATACGCACGTTTTTGATGATAGGATGGGACGTGTTACGCATGTTCACACCACACCGTAAGCAGAAACAACCGGGTATCGACGTAGACCGTTTTCCACCGGAAAATCTCTTAGGGAAACAGGGTGAATATATAATTCTGATGTGTAACTGAGCACAACCGTGGCGACATAATTTTCACAAAGAATTACTGTGATATTTCGTGTACACAACGTGGCCGAAAATTCTCCAAAACCGCACAAAATTGAGCTTTTCTGCAAGACAGAAAGATGCATTCCACCACGAAAATTACAATGGGAGCATTTTTTGAACGTAAAATCGATTGGGAAAGCCAACAATATGCTTTCATCGAAAAAATGGCGACAAATTTTTTCAACAAAAGTGCGAATGGGGA